TCTCAGCGGCGGTCACTCTGCCCCTCCCTCCTCTGTCCCCTGGGTTGTCTCACCACTGTGCCACTGTACTTTTTCCCTGTTGTATAAAGCTGTGACCTTCCTTCACAAGCCAGATGACTCTTCTGAGGTGATCATCCTGTGGAAAACACTGCCACTTCGACCTGAACGTCATCAGTGGCTATCTCCATCCAATTATGAGTACAGAGCAGATGGCCACAATTATGACTCTGCACCCAAATTCAACAGTGTCCTACAAAGTCAATATTGGTTTCCATAAATTCCCTCTCTTTAACAATTGCAGGGATGTGATGGGCCACAAATATCCTTGCTAATAAACAAAATATTTTTTTTTCCTTCTGTAGCCTTTTTTGTCTTTTAGATCAACTCAGGTAAAATCACTCTTTATAAACCCATTACATAAACTGTGACGTGCAGCCACGTTTTGAAGTATAACATTATAATAACACTGCAATAAGCCAACAGGGACACAACAGGGACACTACACACAGCTGCAGAACAGTATAAATACCCCCCCCCCCCCCAATAAAAGAAACAACTATGAGGAAGTGAAAACAACAACACTGTAAAAACAATATAAAAACAGCAAGTAGTATAAAAAGCCTGACAGCATATCTGAATCGTCGTAGCATAAAGTGCAAATAAAAGGCAAAGAGTGCAGCTGTTAATTAGCATGTCATCAAGTCAGGGTTTATTTGTAGTGCCCATATGACAAATCATAAATTTTCTTCAAGTGGCTTTAAAATCTGTGCAGCATACAACACTCTCAGTCCTCAGACCCTTGGACCAGATAAGGATAAACTCTCCAAGAAAACCCCTTAATTGGAAAGAAGAACAACAGAGGAGCGATCCCGCTCTTAGGATGGACAGATATGCAATAGTTGAGCATGAGATATTCCATGCTCAACATATTGTATGAATAGCAATTCAATACAGACAGTACAAAGAGTGGTTTTGACTTGCAGTGATCTACTGCTGCAGCCTAAAGGCAAGAGCTGAAATTCTTTGTTCAGTGGTCTTTATTTATGGCTCTGACCTTCCTACAGACCTGCCTGTTGTAAATATCCTTAAACTGGGCTTGACTCCACTCACCTGTCCTACAGTTCTCCCAAGCCTTTTCTTAACGCCCACGTGCTCCGTCAGCAACACAACGAAATAAAACACTTTCATCAAATGTATTAAAACCTTCCTCATCAGAGCAGCACAGATATTTAAAAAGTAAATGTGCAGTTTGTTGAAAAGGCACATTTCTGGGATGATTAAAGCCTGTCACACTGGTGTTCTGCCGTCCCACTTGTTCCTACCCCTACTGCTGCAGCACGAGTGCTACTATGGATTTGCTCCAAACACGCCTCATCTGCCTATTGCAGAGCTCACTGCAGCCTGCAGTGCAGATCCACTGGCAGGCCTGGACGGCTGAGCTCTCAGGATTTAAGCAGTCATCGCAGTCTTGTATGAATGTGTGTAAGGTCGAGGCAGTGATATTCTCTCTCCAAAGCACAGGCTCTCTAACTTTCTACCTGACCTGCTGCTGCTTCCTTTCGTCAGATAATAAGGAAGATGTCTCAAACAACCATTGGCCTGCTGTTCTCCTTTACATCTTTCTTTATCCTGGCCCTCTGCTCCAGGAAGAAGGCCAGTACATTTCTTATAGTGTGATTGAATCATCATTTTCCATGTCTCTTAATTCTGTGGCTTTGTCTTCTCAGTGCATTGATTTATCTTATTGGAAAGTGGAGTTAAGGACCAAAAGACTGATAAAAGGGGAAAAGATGGAGGTGGAGATAATGGATAATGGAAGAGGGATTATGGTTTGTATCTGACTGTCAATAGCTCTATTTCCTCTGTTGTTGTATGGAGCTAGGTTCACGATCTCCTCTCTATCAGAATCTTTCTCTCTCCCCCATCCCTGCCTCTTTCTCTCCCGCTCTGCATGACTCTACCATAAATCCACCAACACAGATATTTGCACATACACAGTCACACACACATATACACACACCAATCAATACAAGCCTGCTTGGCACTGCCAAAGTCCAAAATGACTATAGATTTTCTGTCGACTCTGCCACTAAATTATGCAAACCTCTCGTTTACGTTGCTGTACTTTTTCTTGGCATTCTTACAACGGATGCGGGATGGGGTTTTCCACTGAGGCAGGGATTGAAGCATGCAGGTGTGGATAGCTGGGAAAAAAAGGCTTCTGGACATCACCAAATATATTGTTTTTGACAACAGGTAGCAGCAGTTGGTTTGATACAAAATAAGTGCAAAGCATACTGTATACTGCTATAGATTTTGAAATCAATGCCATGTATAAAGACTGTTGTAAATGTCCTGCTGATCCTGCTGAAGTCAGGGTTTTGTTTAGGCGGTGAATAATGAGCTCTGAATATCAGTGTTGGAATTTCTGTTTTGCAAGCACACACAAACATAATCAATGATAACGACAGTGAGAAGTCGGTGAAGACAAAATGAGATACCATAAACATTTCATCCGGAGGAGGCTACTCATAAAGTTAAGTGTTGGCTAAAGGTTTAAATGCAGCCCGGTGGTGATTATTGGAAACTGTATGCTCACACAATTGAAGTTGCAAAACAGTAGAATTAATAAATTGTTGATCTATTTGTGTAGGAAATACAGACATACCAACTATACTCTGTTATGGGAATCAGCAAACAAGTCACCACTTTTAAGGCTGTATCAAAATCAAAGAATTTTCCATCAATTCCAGCCCAAATATTTACCTCAAAAATATATAAATACAGCACAAATATAATATATAATTATTTTGACTGAGTGATAGGAGAGCAGCTATGCCATTATTACCATATTGTTTTGCTCAAATTTGTTATAATACATATCAAACTAACAACATGTATCTACTGTATAACGTCACTTCTATGTTGCATGCCTTCACCAATTCATTACTATCAAACTTATTGTCTTTCTTTGGTTTAATTTGTCGCTTTGTACCACTGATAAGAAGCTCAGTTGGCCAGGATATACAGTATATGACGCTAGTCTGTGTGTGCAAGGTCGTGTACATGTGCGCATGAATGTCCACAGGCTTTAAAGTTCTTAAAGTGTTCATGTTTGTCCATGTGTGAATTTTCATACCTTTAGTGTGGTTCAGTCTGCCTGCGCATCTGTGTGTGTGTGCTTGTGTTTCTGAGGTGAGCTAATAGTTTGTCTGTCCAGGCCTGTGACAGGGCCATCACTAACTCTTAGGGGGAATTGAAATGATCGGCTCATTCAGTCTTCCAGCAATTCCATTACCCTGAACGTCACAATCACACACACACACACACACACACACTTTTCCTAATACTTGACTTATAGTATATCACTGCCACTTTCTCATTTCTGTATTTTTTTTTTTTATTCACTGTCTGAGTCCTTTTCTATATTTCACTGTATTGATTTTAGCATCTTTAAAGTTTTGTCTTTTTTCACTGTCTCCTAACTTTACTCTCTTTTCACCTCTCTGCCTTGCTCTTGCCTGTGTTAAAATTCCCACATGATACGTTTAAAAGTCTTCTTTAAAGCGTGCTTGTGTATGTGAGAATGATGAACCGTATAAGAGAGAGACAGCTGTCTGTCCAGAATAGAATTACTGCGGATTTAGAAAGGCTGCGGTGACACTGACTCTAAAAGCATAGCGACGTTCAGGAGGGTTCGAGTTGTAGAGGATCCACAGTCAAGCTGCAGTTATGCTTTCACAAATCCAATTTTCATCAGAGAGAAATTGAGAGGGAAAGACAAACTGACAGAAATAGATGAAAAACTGCTTTTTGAAGCAATCATTGATCACTAGTCAAAGTTCCTGGTTCTGTCTAATGAGCTGCTTGTTCATTCTGGGAGCCCGAGTAATGAGAAAAACACCACAGCATGAAACCAGGAGGTGAAATGTGCACGTGTGTTTGTGTGTACTATGTCTTGTGCTTGGACAGCGACTTTGTGTTTAGCTGAAAATTCAGTAAGTTACATTTCAAATGAAGACTTTTTGTAAGACCTTTTCATAATCATTAAGGATCAAGCATACACTATATAGCGCTATATAAAGAATATTAAACACCTAGGACAGAAACAAAGAGTACCTACTGCAGTGCAGCCATTTAGCGTAGCATGGCAGTGCATGTAATATATGTGATATATTTCTTTGTGTGAGTTTCTTTATAGGTCAGTCTCCCATCCGGTAGATACAATAAATTCATTCATGTACACTTCATTATGCTTTAAAGAGCAAGTCAAAATAAGATGGGGATTTCTGCAGGCCTCACTGTACACACACATACACACACATACACACATGCACACAAGTATAGAATGATGCAGCTGGTAGATGCTCAGTGCCCTGATGTGACCCTCTTGGCTCATCAGGAAGAACTGCTCCACTTAAACTTTGTTGCTCCCTTGTAATTGAATTAGTCTGCTCAATTATGTAGAGGCAGGCCTGTCCTCATTACACAGCACTATTAAAGCACAAGGACGGAGCTGAGGGGAGGAAAGCAGCAGACGAGCAGCAGAGAACGGGGCTAAAAGTCATTTTAGTGAAAGTTTATCGCCCCAGCTCCAGTGTGTCTGTAGAACAACTGTGCTGTAGTTCATGAATTATGTCCTGCTGTACATCCTCTGCTTTGCCTGTCTCTCTCTCTGTTTGGCTTTCCTCTTTGACTCATTCTGCTGCTGGGGCCAAATGCCTGGAAAATGCTGAGGCAGCAATTTGGCGAGTTCTTCAGCAGCTTTTTTTACACTAACTTCAGAAAGAAGCATCAAACTGAGCCGAAATGCTGCCAAACCACTTGCTTGCAGGGGTCCCTGAGCTCAGCACAATGATCTTCTGACAAGCGTGTGCTCGCATTCGTGCACACACCTACACTGTAGAGGATCTCCTTTAACTGCAGATGCTTCTCCCCTGTCTGCACCAGAGCCACATACAGTATCTGAGAACAGCTTTTCTCCCCTCTCTCACACACAGGAGCAGCTGAAGAGCCTCCAGAGTGGCTTCAAGCATGTTAATGATGGAGATTTCCAACTGCAGAGGTGGGTTTACACACAATAAGCACACAACACAGAGGCACACCTTGTTTCCCTCGTAGATGGGACCAAACCATCACTGTTTAACTACTGATAACTAAGACTGGACATGTGTGTGTGTGTGTGTATCCTCTGAATATCCCCTACACCTGTTCCCCTTCTCTCCCGGCTCAGTAATCATCTGACCATGGATCTGGACAACAACATCAACATCAACGTGCCACCCGTTGAGACCAAGGTGTTGATGTAAGTATATATTGTAACTTACAGCTAAAAAGGAGCAACTGTGGACTTTAATTCAGATGACATAGATCAAAAAGGAAATGACCTCTCTCTGAAGCCAACCTCCAAGTCTGTTGTCAACCCTCATTAAAGGTGTCATGTAAATCTGACAGGTCTGACAGATAATTAACATCTACATTTTATTGCACAAATTTACATTCAGATTTTTCTAATCTTGGCTTTCTACTTCTAAACAGTGATTGATTTGAAGGTTAGACTGGGTTAAAAAAATTATCTGGGGCTCACACATTTAATTCCAGGCCTTTCAATAAATGATGTCAGGAATGTATAGCCAAAAACAACATGGCCCACACATTTAAAAAAAAAGTACAGAGCAGCAAAGTGGCTCTTCACATGCCAAAAGAGTCCACGTATTTCATGGGTTAGAGGTCATACAGTGGAAAAAGTGTATAAAAATGTGAATGTTTTGGTTAAAAGACCAGGAAGATTTATGGCCTGTACTGCAACCAGCCACCAGGGGCAATGGATTCACAGTGGCTTCACTGACTGTTCATACCGTGAACAATGGCACAGACCAACATGAGCAGAGGTTCCACATAAACTCATTAGCCACTGAGATCTGATCACACAACCGGCCTGAAGAGGAGAATATCAACACTGACTTAAGTGCTGCTATGAAAATCCAGCTGTAAATCTAGTATGTACACATACACATACGCATATACACATGTACAAGAGATCAAAGAAAAACAACAACATCAGATGCCAAAAGGATGATAATAAGCTGTTACACAAAACAAGCTGAGGATACACTAATTCCTTTTATGACCTTCTGGATGTACTGTAATGTTTTTACATTCTCGTATCCCAACCTCTCTGTGTTTTATTATCTACTGTGTGGCACAAAATGACAACATTCAGACTGAATGGCCAGCTTCTCTAAAGTCTTTTTATTTCTAGCAACAGGTGACTTTGGGTTATTTATGCACATGGCACTGCTGTGCTCCTAAGTGTATGTTTTAACAGATCTACTTGCTTTCTAAGTAGAGTATACTGGGCCCACATGGGCTAAGGCTAGAATGGAAAATCACTTTTGCTGAAAATGTTTAAAACTCACACGGTATACACACTGTATGTACTGCAACCTTTCCACATGTTGCTTCATTTTAGGAAGTTACTAATCAAGAAGATGAAAGCCACGCTTTACATGTGTGTACAGGTGTGAACATCAAGATTGATTGTGAGAATGTTCTGAAATTGAATATTCACGTCTTATTTGCCTGATTCTCAAGCACACAGACTTACCTTAATGTTAACATTATAAGAATTTATATATGCATTACATTTACAAAATCTGTTCCTGTGTTTATGTGTTGTGCATGCAGCATTCAACGGGCTTGGCGGGACTTCCTCCAGAGACAGGAAGCGGAGAAGAGGAGCCCCTCCCCTCCTTCCCTCTCGTCTTCTGACAAGATGAGCATGTCAATCAGCATGACGACCTTGTCGGATGGCAGCACCCCAGTAAGTCACGCCTATCTCAAACTTGTGCTCCATTGCAGAGTCAAGGTGCTCAGATAGTGTCAGACCGTGTTTCAGGAGGCTGTGTAAGAATATGTGTCTTTGCTTGAACAGTTGAACAGAAAGAGCTGCTAATGGGCATGTGCTGGCCTTTGCTGTGGTTTTTAAATGTGTGCTCAGGACTTAGGATCTTACTGTTGGCATGTTTAAAGTTTTGTGCTGCCTTATGTAGAGAATATGGGACAGTGCATATGCTCCCATCTCTGTCCACAAGGGGACAGCACTTCTCAGCTAATTTCTTCAGTATGCAGACTCACAGCCAGCCTCTTCTCTGGGAGCAGAGAGTAAATACACAAAGATTCAGTCTGACATGCATACACTCTCACAGCAACAGCACACTGAGAATTGAAATCAGCAGAACAGCCATTCTCATTCAGCTCATCTTCTATTCATTTAACCGGACCATCGTAAATCCCCAGGATTTTCTCTGCTGCGCCTGTTCTGGTCATTATAATTCTACACTGGTGTCTTCAGCGGCCTTCTGGCTGAATTGAAAGTGCGTGTACATTTCTCCGCTAATCTCTGAGCCTGAAGTCAACAGGCAGGTTAAATCTGAAAGACGGCTGGGAGAGTTCTGTGCATGAGCATGCTCAGGTGGTACTTGTCTAGTCAGTCATTACAGAGAAACACTTTTACACTGGAGAACACTGTTTGATTTGGATTCTTGTGGATAAAAGAGGGTCACCTGGGTTATGAGCGAAGACAATTCAGAGCGGCGGGAAGCTGATATAAGTGTTTGCTCGTGTCTTAGCTGTACAGTACAGCTAATAGTATTCAGGCCAAGAAGGTTGTAAATAAATTCTTCAAGCATTCTATCCGGTGTTATACACACACACACACACGTGCAGTAAACATTGGTTTTGTCTGAAATCTTTGGGGATGGCCAGGAAGTGCTTAGCTCAGTGACTCAGACCTGCTGACATGAGCAGATGATCCTCACTGAGACAAGGAAAGGGAGGGTGTGTGTGCCTGTGTACTGTATGTGTGCATTAATACCCTAAGGTTGAGGGGAACAGAGGTGGAGAGGAAAGAAAGATGAAAAACAGATGTTGGTTCACTGGTTGAATGTGCTGATACTGTAGATTTGCTCTCCGTGAGAAAGGGGCTCTGCTTCTCCTCTCGTGTCTTTTTATAGTCTTGTTTTTACTTGATTGATCACAACAGTCTGCATGTTTTCTCATCTTAACTTTGTGTTCCTTCACGCACTTTCTCTTGCTGTCCCTCTTTCTATCATTATTTGATTGTTAGTCCTGTTCGTAATGTTTTTTGTCCACCCAGTTAGAATTTCTAGTAGTGTTGTTTCTGTTGACCCAGTGCTACATTCCCTACGTGCACCAGGGTCCATACATGGATACAGATGCATGCACACACACAAAGTGACACATCTGGAGGACGGAGTCATATTTTCCTGAGACATAGTGAAGTGGCAGCCATCGCTAAAGTGATTGAATTTGTGACCTTTGTGCCTGTGACATCAGTCTTCTGCATTACACTGCAGAATGTGTGTGCATGACCGTGCTTGTGTGTCTATAGTTTATGTCAAACGGGGTCTTTGTGTTGCTACAGTGTAAACAAGAGATATGAATGTAATGTTCTCAGCAGTGTGTGACTGAGATATTGTTGACATGCAGCTTTCTTACTCTGTAAATGATCCTTCGCACTGTAACTTTGCTTACTCAGTGCCGTGACAAACCAGTAGAATGGAGCAGCTCTGGGTATCTCTCTTCATGATCGATCCCTGCGCTCCATAGCAGCACCAGGGAGGCAGAAATTATAGGTTTCATTTAACAAAACTCTGGATTTTATACACAGATATGAATCAGCTGTCTAAATTTTATTATTTCTTAATACTATACCACATCAACACACATCCCTCCCCGCGATCAGGCACATGGACACTGCAGCTTCAATTTCAGAATGTCTAGATGATACATTTCTTTTTATAACCAGACATCAATCAGTACTGTTTGGGAGCTGGCTTAATGTTTTTCCAGTCTGATTGCCACTAAATTACTTGATAAATGAGGATGAAAACAAACATCAGAGAAGATCTAAATCCGCACTATGTATTTGTTTTTTAATTGTTAAAACGTGGAGGTGTTTTAATCCTGGATCTCAGAAGGAATTCCAGCCTCCTGCTTTATTTCTTAGTGCCTTGGGTTAGGGAGCTGTCCATTACTTTGGTGCTGACCTATCGTCTGCGGTGCAGTAGCTCGGGTTTGACACTAGAGGGGGATGTTGCATCACTGTGGGGGGTTTCTTGCTTTTCCTGGGGAGTATTGGACCAGATGTTGTTATCAAAGCAACAACCTCAAGAAGTCAAACGTTGTATAAGACCTTATGTGTGTATTGGAATATGTGAAGAGCACAGCAGAATGCTTGTTTTGGGGTGTTTCTTCAGGCGTTCATTTCTACTGAAGCATATCTGGGCCCCCTAATTCATCCAACCTTATATACAGCTGGATTTATACTCACTGTGTTATGCCATGTCATTTCAGCAGAGGTTATTTTATAAGGTATAAAATATGTATTTACTGTGGGGACCTGTTAATGCCACCCAGTTAGAATTTCTAGTAGTGTTGTTTCTGTTGACCCAGTGCTACATTCCCTACGTGCACCAGGGTCCATACATGGATACAGATGCATGCACACACACAAAGTGACACATCTGGAGGACGGAGTCATATTTTCCCAATCCCCCCCATCTGCCACCTGTCGCTTCTCCGTCTCTGCCCTCTCCATCAATGTCTTCTTGACACTCCCCTCCCCCATATTTAATGTGTTATGCGTTTCTCAGCCTCTCTGCACCTTCTTGCTCTGGTTCTCTATTTTAGTCTCTGTTTCTTGACCGCTTGCTCACCAACCTACTGTTCATTCAGATTAATCAGACTATGCTGCAGCAGCAGCAGTAGCTACAGAAGACTGGCAGAAATCATAAAAGTACAGGTACATAATGTGCTATGACCCCACAGACATAAGACATTCAGCAATGCCGCACTGCCTGTGCAGGTCATCAGGTTAAACTCAGAGTTTGAGGTCAGTCTGAGAGTCTGTTTGTAGTTGCCCTGAAATAACCCACTAACGTCTTTGTAGCTGACTCAAATTCATCATCACATGGAGTGTCAGAACTTACTGAGATTACTGAGCCAGGAGGCTGCGCAGACTACACTCTGTGTCAAAGCAGTTTAACCCCTCACATTAGTTTTCACCCATTTAATCCAATGCACGGTACACATTTCTGACCTGTCACTGAGCTTGCATAATTTTAATCCTCACAGTCTTTTCCAATTACTGAACAAGCCAACCTTTCATTACTCTAGATGGAAGACAGCAGGAAAGGTCAGAAATGGTTATTATACTAAGGTTTCAGCTTTGCCACTGTATGAAAGACTCTCCCTGAGGCTCACCGTGGCCCCATTCTGTTGTATTTACTATACATTAACCTCATGGTGCACCAGTCACTGGTAGATGGACTTAGCCAGCTCACCAGTCTTCAGTCAGTCAACTGCTGGAAAGGAAAGTGCTTCTATGCCGCTCTCTGTTTGTTTATAGTTTATAGTCATTGTGTGTATTTCAATGTACATGAAATGTACATATACAATGTAGATGAAAATAAATGTCAGTAGTAACACAAAGTCAGCTCCATTCAAGTCAAGTCAATTTATTTATGCAGCCCAAAATCATAAATTTGCCTCAAGAGACATTACAGAATATTTTATACATAGACCCTTTTTCAGAACAGGAAAAACTTTTAATGGGCAGAAAAAGAAACCATAAAGCATACTGTATATATGTATATGCCAGCAAACCAAATAAGCGGTCCTTTGACATTACCATGTACTGAATATGGTGGTACAAGAACCACTGGATTATTCTCACTACCAGCTATCAAGTTAGTGGTCTATTGCCTGCTGTCATGCTTCCAAACAATGGCATGTCCCAGTAGCCTCTCCCACTTCTCCCACTTTCCTCCTCTACTATCCAGACCAGAACATTCCTGTGATGATTTACAGTAATTATGCAAATGCAACATACGGATGAGGAAATTAATGCTAACCCCCACCGGTTTCTCCATCACTGGAGAATGGGTGTAACTGGAGTCAGTGCTTCTACAATCCTGTTACTGTAATGCCATGCACAATGCAAAAAGCCTAGGTCAGGCGATTAAGGATTCCCTTGAATTAGTTTGGGTTCATTGAAGCCTCGTGGTGGCAGCTCACGTATTTAATTGTTTTTCTTTATTCATTATGTGCCAGCTTACTGAAAAGGCAACCTACACATGATTTTATTGCCTTTTTTTATATTCCTCAGGAGTGATGCTGGATCTGCGTTTGTAGGCAGCTGATTTAATTGACATAATCCTTCCTGTGACCATCTCTCATCTACTGTATAAGATGTACTGTATGTTAGCAGCACAGGCGTGAAGCTGTGCCTGTGGCAGGGCAGGCTGAGTGGCAGTCCTGGCAGGAAGTAAGAGGACTGCTGTGAGACACGAGCCAACGTGCTGATTGACAGACTCATTAGTGACCACTCGCCAACAACTACATAATACGATCCTTATATAACCCACCTGATGTGGTTATTAAAAAAAATAATAATAATAATAAAAAAAAAATACAGTAATCTTACTGCAACCAACCAAAGTGAGTTTTTTCTGTCTCTTTGTTACAGGTCTAGGTTCCTTTGTAAATGCTTCAACCTCCCTACAGATATGTGAAAGACATTTATATGAGTCATAATTAAGTATTAGAGGGCTGGAGCCTTCAATGCAGTGGTGTCTGATGGGAAGCAGCCAGGTCTGACTCTGTGCTAATCACCTGCTAGTGGCTTGTCAAGTCAAACATGAGCCTTTACACACCTGGGACCTGTCATGTCATGTTCTCTCTGAGGTGTGTAATGCATATTATGGCCATGTGATTTGCCGGACGTGATGTGTGTGTGTG